AGCGTTTGGCCGGCGGCAGGTTCTCTAGCCATGCCAAGCTAGCGGTCGCTGGACGGAGCCAAGTAAGTGCTGACCGCGGCCAGGGAGGCAGTGGGAGGGAGGGCCAAGAAGGGTGCATGAGTGGATGCTTTACAGGTGTTGCCAGGCTCTGTGCTGGCATGGGGGAGTGTTTAGGGACGCGGGGCTCTTCTTTTGCAGTGCAGAGTCAATGCGCTTTTGGGAGGTGCTCTGAGAAATGGTCGTGGCCCTGATACCACCTGGAGATGTTCCTGGTTATGGCACTGCTTGGTCAAACTGGGATCTTGGTTAGAGCAGCAGCAAGCTGTCAGTTCAGTGTGGTTAGAAATAAAAAGAGAAATAGAGGCAGTCTCAGCTATCAATGTATATATGTATGTGAATGTGTATCCTTTCTGGACTCGATTCGGGGTTGTGCTAGCAATGCTGTTTGCCAGTTGGCAAGCTTACAAAGAGAACAGCTCAGCATATAGCAGGCAGTCAATTTTTTTTTTAAGACAGTGACTTAGCATCCTGCAGTGGGACGATTTTGTTACACAACCACTGTCCCCCACTGCTGCAGCTCATCCCTGAGAGGTGGGCCTCACACAAGCTGTCATGGTCTCCATGACCTAAACTAGCACAAACACGCACATTCCTCCCAGTGATAAAACTCCTTCTGCAGCGTAGCGGAGCCTTGTGACTCGGCGCACAGAAACCCCAGTTGTGTAAAGCTCATCTGGCACTGGGACGTTTTGTGTAATACTTTTTCTATGTGTCTGGCTCTGTGGAAAGAGTTGAGAGCTCTTGTACAATCCTTGACACCAGAGGGTGCCAGCCAGCGAGAGAGCACACCATGATTTAGTCATGTAAAACTGAGTGATACTAGAGACTTGGCTTTCACAGATGACAGCCTATTTTGTGTAATCTTGATTAAGCCATGTCTTAAGGGGTCTTTAAGAGTGTGGGAGCATGAAAAGCTGGTCTGTGGTCTATCCAAGCTTTGGGAGTGGAAAATAAAAGCTTGGAAATTAAATTCACTCAAAGATAAATTGGTGGGAATGAGCTGAGAGTCTGTATTGCATTCCAACCCTTTTCATTCTACTGACTCAAGAATGGGGGCATAGGGCTTCCCACAGCTGGGCAAGTGAAAGGTTAAAGCTGCTGCTTGATGCATTGTTCCAACGTGGTTGTGGCAACTGCTGCCTTTTCCCACATGTGACAAAGGTAAGCAGCATACACACAGTTTCCAGATCCGTTCCTTTTTGTGCCATGGAGCCATCCATGCTTGTTTGTATTGCAAGGAATAGAAGTGAGCTGAGCGACATGGAAGGGACCAGGTGTGGTACCTCACACCATCCATCACCACTGCCTACACTGTAGTGTGTACTTCACACTCTGTGAAAAGTCTTGCATTGAGGTGATGGCAATATCCAGCTTTAGGTATTGGTCTGCATTGTTTGGATCGTAACCTTCCCACTTTGCTTTGAGGATTCAGGGAAGATCACTTAAGTACTGATAGTTCTTCAGTGCCCTCCCAACAATTTTCCCCGGAAGGTTGGACAACCCTCCTGAGTTAGCATAGCTGACCGAGAAGGAATTTCAGTACTGAGAACCACAAGAGATGCAGCTAGAGCTACACACACCAAATGCATGCAGTGAAAACATGATTTTGTGGGTAAGGCTCTGATGTGGCTGTGCTGAAATGGATGAAGAGCAAGCCTTGGTCACTGTGCTGGTCACCCAGATTCTTAGTAAAGAAGAAAGTGTTCCTTCATTTGCTTGCAATTTCTGGTTATATGACCAAAGTGCTTGAAACAGAGTACCATAAATTACACTGTGTATGTTTTCAGATAAACGAGTACCTGTGATAAAATTTGTGACATTTCTAGCCTTAGTAAATACTTCTGTAAATGTGACATACGAGGAGCAAATAATACTGACCTGGAAATAGTAGCAAATCAAGATGTGCTTATTTGGTCATGAAAAGATTTATCGTTTGAGATCCTGTTTACTGTGAGGTCAATGCAGCATTTATCTCAGCAAAAGACTGGGTTCTGTTGCCTTCAACATTTCTATCAAAATACTTGGGATAAGAGTTAAGGCTATCTTTTGCAGATTAGATAGGGGAGTTTCTGAGCATCTTCAGTGTCTGAATCATTATTTTCTAATATTGCTAGCGTATTTTTCAATGTAATTTGATTGAAAAAAGTGAAGTCAGGGCGTTTCAAGCATAGTTCAGAAATAAGTGCATGAATCTCCTTTGAATTCTAATCTTCAGGCAATCTCTGCTATGCTGTCCTTGAAATCTGGTATATAACAGTCTAAGTGCTGACTTAGGTGGAATTTTAAACAGCCATTAGCCACTGTGATTTGGAGGTGAATCTTTCTGGTATTTTGATGCCAAACTTCAATTTGGCGCTCTAATCAGGCCAGAATCTGACAGCTGCTTTCACAAAGGTGAAAAATAGGGTATGTTTGAAGAATTAATTTTAAAGCAGGATCCTGGAGCCATGGCTCCCCTACTGAGGATTTATCCATCACTGAGCAGTTTGTTGCTGTTTGTCATCCTTTGCAGTCACTGAGGTCTCTCTCCTCCCTGCCTGTGATTATTAGAAAGGAAGCATTTTGGCTTTTTGTTGTTGTTGTTGTTGATCAGATCTTACATTTTGGCAGGAGCTTTATCACTTACGATCTTTCCATAGTGTGTGTGGTTGAGCATGATGCCTTTGTGAACAGAGAGGACTAAAAATACTGTAAGGATGTTCTGTTTTTATACTGTCAGAAGAGTTTCTGTACAATGTGGACAGACTGCTGGACGGACTGCTGCAGGGAACCTGCCTGCAGTGGTCAAAGCAGCAGAGAGATGAATAGGTGGCTATGACCACCTGGGAAGATCTAAATAAATATTCCCATTGGTATCTTGCCGTGGTGGCCTGATGGCACCCAACAGTTAGTCAGCCTGGGAGTAACTGCATGAGACGTAATGACCTGGGGTATACAGGCAGGGTGATTAAGAGATACAGCAGACACCTGGCATTACATACTATGATTCTAAACCATCTCAAGTCCTATATTTGATAAAGGAAGTCTGGTAGTTCCATTTCCTTCTTATTATTCTCTTACACTTCCTGCACGTGTCCTTTTGGAACCGTGGCATTCCAAGGTTGCCTTGATCCTTATCTATATTACTTTTGTGGTTGTTGTTTCATTTGTTTTGTTTTAATTCACAGTGACATAGCTGTGGGCACCTGCTGAAGCTGCCAAGGTAGAATTGTTCCCTGCTGTCCATTTTTATCCAGCCTTGCTTCAAAAAAGTATCTATGGAAAGTACTTCTACTGTTTTTCTTCAGGGATTACTCCACGTGCAGAAGCTTCCCTAATATGCTTATGGCGTTCAAGGCTTTTTCTTCAAGCTGCAGGGTCAGTTACAGACAGAGAATACTTGTGTTATCTGACAGACAGTGGCTTTCTAGTAGAAGAATTAAGGGGTAAATGTGGTGGAGTTCTTGCTGGTGCCTAGCAGCCTTGTTTGCATTTCCTCACACATTTCATCATCACCCGATTCTGATGTCTTTATATGCAAGGAACAGGGCATCAAATCTTGCCTTGCGGAAGTCAGTGGTGGTTTTGCTGTTCACCAAAGTGAAGCATCAGTTTCACCTGGCATGTGTAATGAGAGGGAGGTATCTCTCACAGATAATCAGCAGTTCTAGATCCAATGATCAAGAAATGACCCTTTTGGTAATTGGTGCTTTTATGAAAGACTGGATGGCTGAGATGTCTCATTTCTCATCCCAAGTAACTAGCGATAGAATGAGAGGAAATGGGCCTCAAGTTGTGCCAGGGGAGGTTTACAGTAGATATTAGGAAAAATTTCTTTACTGAGAGAGTAGTCAAACATTGGAACAGGCTGCCCAGGGAAGTGGTGGAGTCACCATCACTGGAAGTATTCAAAAAACGTGTAGACGTGGCACTTCAGGACATGTTTTAGTGGGCATGGTGGTGTTGGGTTGATGATCTTAAAGGTCTTTTCCAACCTTAATGATTCTGTGATTCTGTGATTTGAGAGAGAGGAATCTCCTTTCTCTGTCATTCTACAGTTTGACCTTGCTGCCGGCAAGAACTTGAAGCCATAACAGATGTGCATCTTAGAGGCTCAGAGAGGAAAGAAAAATTGTGCTTCGTTTCAGTTATTTCTCATGATCTGGTGCTTACTTTTTCTGAATGTGTGGGATTCTCACTGCTGGATTATGATATTTGGCTGTTTTATGGCAGCTTCCAGTTATGGATCTCCAAGGTCTGACTTCTTTGCAGTGAAGGAAGGATTCCAGCAGACCTACAACTATGGAAAGTGTTATCACCCTACGTTACATGGAGACTTCTGAGCTACAGAGAGATTAGTTCTAAGAGCAAGCCTGAGTAAGACATTGAAAACATTAGCGTTAACTTTCTTTTCTCCAACATCAGTTCCTCATCATGTTGTTGTTACGTGAGTTGTACAAATGAGTCCTTCTCATTATTAAGCACAGATAGAGGTACCTGTCCCTCTGCTATTTACAATCTATATAGCCAACATTGACAGAGGAAGTATTGTTACAAACATGGATCTACCAGAAGCTTGGCATCTCCAAACAAAGTGGATTTTAAACTACTTTAGCCTGGCACTACTAAATGCACAGTAGAATCTGATCTCAGATCCTCACAGTGTTTTATCAGCCCATTGGCCTTCCCCGTCCTCCAGCCTGGTATCAGTTTCTTCCCCAGCACTGTTAGCCCAAATGCAGTGATCAGGTTTGCATGAAAGAAATTAATGCAGCACCTGTCACTGCATTAGGAAGCCAGTTCAGTGCGTAGGATGCTACATGATCTTTGCAATGACCACCTCATTTGACTCCCACCCCCTCCAGCTTATAGGTTCATATTTACAGCCTACAGAGACATTTGACACATTCAGGTCATAATGGTTCGCAGGAATGGCTAAACAATTCTAACTGTATGCCATGGGTACATTCTAGGGAGCTGCATTAGCTGTGCTTTACATTTCAGTTCTGGATATGGCCAACAATTGTTGACTAGGATCTCAATTACACTAAATACAGCAATAAAAGTTCTGAACCCCTGATTCTGCATGGTTTGTGTAATTAATATTTGGTGTACTTTTCTTAAATTAATCCTGGCAGCTAGCGATACCTAAATTTACTCATGCAGCGTACCACCTTCTTGACAAATGTGAAAGTTTCAGAATAATTTTATTTTCACAAATTAAAAGATCTGGATACAATGACACAGATCTAGTTTAGCAGCATTAAGTCAGAGTGTGTGTGTGTGTACAGAAGCATTCCGTGTGGGGATAGCAGATGGTATAAAAATGAAAAATATTTTTGATTATCAGGAGAGACAGATGTTTTTTAAAGAAGTTCTTCTGGTGATGTGTTGTAAAAAAGTTTGCAGACTAGCTTTGCAAAAGACCTATCTAAAGATAGTTAAAAAATCTATCTAAAGAGTGCAGCTTTGTTGGATGTGAACTCTTTTGAAAGCCTGTCTGTAATGAAGCCTCTAAATGGGTGAGATCGCAGAAAAAGCAGTGGAGCCTAGAAAACCGAATTGTAGTGCTTTTTCTTGTAAGAACGGTTTAGATGCTGGGAGAGTGAGAAGTTCTGAACGTTCCAAATTCCCCAATCTAGTTTATTTTCCTCTCTTTTTTAATAAGAAAGAGGGAAATTAAAATGAGCAAAAGTTCTCCTTGTTTGGATTTATATACTGAACTGCATTACGGATTTGATTTGTAGAACTTGCAGTGTGTTTTAATGCAGGCTAACCTAGTTGTGGAATAGACATTCTAACTCACAGCTATCTTAGGTGCGCCTGAAGCCTTCACTGGGGCATCGGCGTAAATCTGTCAGTCTTGTTAACGGGGCTATAAGTAACATTGTGCTAAAACATGGTGTTTTGCGTGGTGGTTGTTGGTGTGTTGTTTTTTTTTTAAAAAACACACACAACCAACCTCACGTATTTTATTGGTAAACAGACTAAGGAATATCTTGGTTCATCATGTGTAACCTCTGTGCTCTTCTCTAGTGGAGCATGTAAATGCATATATAACCCCAGGAAGATCAGTGACTTAGAAACTAGGCAAGAGAATTAAATGAAAGCTCCTGGCTGAGAAACCTTTAAAAGTTGTCTTTTTTGAGAGTACATCTTCCACATTTTCAGGAAGTCTCCAGGCCTCTTCTGAACTTTGTATTGTTTTGTTTGCAAATCATATCCAGGTGATCCTATCTCTTTTCCTCACCTAGCATAGAAAAAAATAGACGTGAGAATCTGACCCCAGGTTAAAAAATAGTATACAACCCAATATAGTAAAATACACCATCCAAGCTGAGCCTTAAAGACAGTTCCCAGTATCTCAGTGTCTTGCTGCCATTCCTTTCTGTGTTTTATTTAATATATCATTGTAAGACACTTGCTCACAAGGCAGTAGATCCTCATCTTGAGGACCCCAGGTTAATTGGGTTTTCCCATTTAATGGTTTCTCCAAATTATGCTGTAGTTTTGAAAAGCCTGGATACTGATTGTGATCTGAGAATGTTGGGCCCAAACTTAAAGTCAAGAGAAGGATTTTCCTTGACTTTAGTAGTGTAGGTGTGTAGCTTAAATTCTGCAATGTACACCTGTGTTCCATTGCAATCAGTTGCAGGTTGACACTTAAATATCTAGGAGGATTAGAATCTTAAGCCCACAACTGTATACCCTAAGACAAAATTGTGTGTAGGCTGCCTTACTGTAATGTAGCACTAGTTAAGAAATTCTTAGCAAGATCTCAGACCATAGTTAGCAGGAATTGACTGTGATTTGTACTTGAGGTAATGAAAGTTCTAGTATCTCAAGTAATGGATATTAAAACAGTCTGTGCACTCTGCGGCATCTAACAAGATTAAATGCTTTTAAAAAAATGTCCAAGGTGTGTTAACGTTGTTGTCTGCTGTTCTTAATTAAGTTTGGATGAGTGTAAACAGATGCATGGTGAACAGCAGACAAGTTCCAAGAAACTATTTGTTGATTTATCTTGAATTGATCATATGGTTTCTGTATTTTAGATGAGATTTATAAGGTGGGAAAATACATAAATTTTTCTAATAATTTGTGATGAAACTATGAAATAAACAAGTAAAATCAAACCACCAGTTTGCTCCATATTCCCTGTGTATGAAAAGCAGAGACAAGTTAAGTTATTGCATGTATACACCCTGCCACTTTCCTTTTCTATTATGTTATGTTGCTTTTATACTTGCCTGCAGTATAAAATCTTCAGTATCTATCGTCAGTCTTTCTGTCTGTCTTTAAAAAAAAAAACACAAAACTTGTTTGGATTGAGTTTATAAGAATTTTTGATGATAAGGACACATTACAGATTTTTTTCTTTATTCATAAAATTAAAAATTTTTCATTAACTTTGTATTGGAGATCTTTACTGCTTGTATATGCTGCTGCTTAGAAGCTAAAATTTTTAATTTAAGTAATCATGTGTCTGTAAAGCAGTTTCTTCTTTTCTTCTTTCTTTAGTTCCTGCAACCAGAAATCACGTAGTCGCTCGTGATGTTTTGCACATAGACACACACCCCCCCAACAAAAAACAAACAAACAAAAAAAAAACCCCAAAGCTGCCCCCCCACCCTGGCCCTGGAATTATTGGCTGAGTTTTCTGGAATTATATTGGCAACCATTATGGGAAAAATAGATGCTTTTCCTAGAAAAAAAAATCCTTACAGAAGTTGCAGATTATGATGCAGCTGTAAAGTTCTAGGAACATACTTACTTAATGTAATGCTTTTACAATACATTTGAAATTTTGCTGTCATGTCTGTTGTCTCTTCTGACAGAGTGTAGACCTGGATGACCACCACAAACCTGAGTTTAGAAGAGTTTTTAGTTCTTCCATCATTGAAAATGGGCATCAGTCTTCATCAGGTAGGAACGGGGCATGAAATGGAGTAGCACTGCTTGTAAAATGCTTGATCCTGGCAGTTGTAGAGCAGCTCTCGTGTTCAAAGCATTAGAATCTGCTATGGTTTCAGCATGGATATTGTACTGTCGCACTGATATCATTTAACTTTATTTCCTAATTAGGAGCTTAACCTTTAAACTTTATTGTTAAGCATGCACTATGGTGTTTCATAAATGAGAGACTATTACTGCCACATTATCTTGGGGCACGAGTGATAAGGCCTGCTATTCTGAGTGTCACTGTAGCCTTGCATCCCAAAACATTTTCCAGATTACCTGTCCACTTCCATCATCCTTCAGTGGAGGAAGGACTTAACTATCTCCATTTTAGAGAAAATTGAGGCACACAGCATTTCATAAAACCATGAAAAGAACAAGAATGCTGACTCCTAACCCACAGCAGGAGATTGGGGGCGGGAGCTGCACAGAGGAAGAGCTTACCAAATGTAGATGCTAGTGGATTAATGATCTGACAAAGTTGTTCTTGCTGAGATTCATGTAAGACGGGTATGATTGCTGCAAGGATCACTTACACTGGGGTTGTTTCTGCAGTGTGGGTATAATGCCCCACAGGGAGAACTAGGTGGAATAATTCCAATAACTTGTAAAATAAAGTTGTTGCATGGAAATTGGTTTGTAACTTTGTTACAAATTTGCAAATAATTTTACTTCCTCTCTCCTTTTCTTTTTATTCACTAGGTCAGGCAAAAGTCTCCCATGAATTGACCTCTTTTCATGTATCAGAGTCTTCCCCTGAAGCCCATGCCCCTGCAGTCACTTTACAGATGCCCCACCTTCCCGTTACTGCAGTAACCAGGATATCGGAGAAGTTTTCAGGAGAGACCATCTGTTCAACAGGAACAACTAATGTGTCTGCTGGCCTGCTAGGACAGAGCAAGAGCAAAAATGTGATGGCAGTGAAAACTTCCAACCAGTCAGGTAAAAAAAACAAAAATAATTTGTTTGCTGAAGCTGTGTCCCATTTCTTTACTTCCAGAAACTGGTGCTATGGGGATTGTCCTGTGACCCAGTCATACTTATGAAACCTTGCTTCTATGGCTACATGGACACTCTTATTTAGAGTTTTGTGGGTCCTAAGTGGAGCTTTAGGCTATAATTGTCACAAATACAGGCTGGGTGGAGAATTAATTGAGAGCAGCCCTGAGGAGAAGGACTTGGGGATGTTGGTTGATGAGAAGCTCAATGTGACCCAGCAATGTGTGCCTGCAGCCCAGAAAGCCAACCAGCAAATAAAGGGAGGTGATTCTCCCCCTCTACTCTACTCCCATGAGACCCCGCCTGGCATACTGTGTTCAGCTCTGGGGCCCCCAGCATAAGAAGGACATGGATGTGTTGGAGCGGGTCCAGAGGAGGGCCATGAAGATGATCAGAGGGCCGGAACACCTCTCCTATGAGGACAGGCTGAGAGAGTTGGTGGTGTTCAGCCTGGAGAAGAGAAGACTCTGGGGAGACCTTATAGCAGCCTTCCAGTACCTGAAGTACGCCTACAAGAAAGCTGGAGAGGGACTTTTTACAAGGGCATGTAGTGATAGGACAAGAGGTAATGGCTTTAAACTGAAAGAGGGTGAATTTAGAGTAGATTTAAGGAAGAAATTCTTCACTATGAGGGTGGTGAAACACTGGAACAGGTTACCCAGAGAACTTGTGGATGCCCCATCCCTGGAAGTGTTCAAGGCCAGGTTAGATAGGGCTTTGAGCAACCTGGTCTAATGGAAGGTGTCTCTGCCCGTGGCAACAGGGTTGGAACTAGGTGATCTTTAAGGTCCCTTCCAACCCAAAACGTTCTACAACTCTGTGATCTGCCGAGAATTTTTGTTGCCTAATATAGTTGGGTTCATAGTGCAGCCTATCTTCTAGTACAGTTACTCAATAAGTATCTCTTCAATGAGGCCAGCTATCTTACTGAAATTTGCAGGAGTGTTTCATGCTTTGAGACCTGAGGCCCCTTGAGAAGTTAGGCAGATATTTGGCTAACAGGTTCAACTCCTTGGAGGGAGGAATGACCAATGGCAGACTGAGACATATATACAAATCAGAGTGATTGCAGAATCTTATTGAGTTAAAAAAAAAAAATCTCATTTCATTCATATTGAAGTCATTCATCTTTGAGCTGTATTTCGTATACCTTTAGTGATAGTGACACTTACAGATCAGACTATATATGGGTCAGAAATTAGAGAGACAGACAAGATGGAATTGCCAGCAAGACATAGGGATTATTTGCAGATTATTGTTTAAACTTTTATCTTACTACAGCTAAGAATGTAGCAAAGCCTTCCTTTGTCTTTATTTTTTTTCCTGTTTCAGCAAAGGCCTGGAATTCAAGTACATTGAGAACAATGGGTTCATCTGCCACTGGAGGTGAGTCAGTGTGTCTTTATGCAACACAAATTGAGAGGGTTTCCATGCTCCATGTTTGGAGATTCAGATCAGAGCATGTAGTTCCGATTAGTAGGTACATGGTAATATTGAAATTGCTAGCAAGACTGCATGCAGATTCAGTTTCCCAGGTATCATGGAAACTTGTTGGTCTGTATCAGATTTTCAGTCGGTTCAAAGCAAGGGGTACTTATCCTTATTTGCACAGTGGTATACACGTGTACCGTTAGGCAACCTCTGCAGTGGAAACAATAGGTGCCAGAAAAGTGTGGCAGAACAGACAGTTTGAGTGGTGAAGATTTCAGCTGACCAAGTGAAAACTGTGACTGAACCCAAGGTAATGACGGTTGGAAAGTGGTGGGCCCATCTGATGGATGCTGAAGCAAATTCCTTTGAGCAGCATAGCAGTAAGTAGTCTCCTTTGTATGTGAATGTGTCAAAGGACAAAATGCCTTAAGGATTTTCAATTTCAGTCCAAATAGATGAGTTGAGCTCTATCCAAAAGTACTTCTGATTGATGTCACCAAGCTGTTACTGTCTACATAATGTACTGATATTTCACAGGGGTCTTAAGTGTCAGTTTAGCAAAGATGTCGCTCATCCAGAATAGGTATCACACTCCTCCACAGCTTAAAATCTCTGAGATTTGCACAAATATTTGGCGTTTGTGGTGCCAAATTTGTCACATCTGTATGCTGGCATTTACCAGGGTGTTTTATGTGAGAAGTCTAGTTGGTCTGAATTCCTTCTATAATCAGTGGAGAGAGTTTAGCATCTTCAGCAAGCTGTTTGGACGGTGATCAGATTGGATTGCTTCTGAGATGCCAGTCTTTCTTCTTTGTGCATAGAAGGAGCCCTCAATAAATGAGTTGCTGCCTTATGCAACAAGTTTTGACTTCAGTGTGTTAAAATTGAGCGAGCCACTCCATTGTTCTGTGTTTACAGAGCATAGCTAGAATCCAGAGCTGGGCTCTAAGAGGCAAAGCACAAAAGGTAGAACCTCAGGGATGGGGGGAAAAAGATGGAAAGTTGGTTTTAAGCCACCTCTGCAGGCTCTGTAGTCTGTTCTGCTTTACAAACTAAAATGTTTCCTGGTGGAAATTAGGTAATTTAAATTATGCTCCCAATCATGGCAGGCTTCCTTATGTCTGCCTGAATGACTGTTGCAAGCTGACCTGTAGCACCATTTCTTCCTTTCACTGAAATGTCCATGGCAGTGTGCCCTCTTCTGAGGTCTGCACAAGGGCCTGAAAGGATCCAACCTTCCCAATGCAGTTTCATCAAAGGCATCCTCTCACAGCCCTTTCTGGTATGTTTACACCATCCTACCTGCAGTGCAGCAATTTTGCAGAGGGATTGAACCCGTGGGGAAAATCCTTCCCCAGCGTGTTAGCTCACACTGGAAGTTAGACAGAGGCCTGCAGCTTTTCACTGTGGTGAGTAAAAATCAATGCGTGGCTATCTATCAGGAAATGGTTTGAAAATGTATAAGGAAAGAAGATAAAAGAAGTTTCTGCCCTGATGCATCTTGTTTTTCCTGCTTTTATACAGAGAATACCACTTCTGTCACTAAGTCTGTCTCAACTGTGAGCTATGGGACGAGTAGTGGAACCAAAACTGGTGAAAGGTATGCATTTTTCTTGATGTTCTATTAGGCCATTGCGGTCAGTATAGTTTCAAGGGACAGGTGTTCTGCTGGCTTGGAAAACGGGTAAGTCCCAGATGCTGTATTTTAAGCCCATTAAAGGTTGTGAACTTTCCTGAGGGAGAAGTGGAACAGACATGGGAAGGGATAAAAATCTTTTGTAGAGCAATTTAGAGCAGACCTAATTGTGGGTTTCAGCATTGTTACAGTGTTAGTCAGTAAAACTATTAGTGCCAGAGGTGGATTTTTGTTAGAGGGAACAAGTTATCAAGCCATTTGAAAACCTAAAAATGCTCGGCTGTCTTGAAATTTGTAGTTTGGGCTTATTTTGGAAACCAATATATGACTTCCATCAAATATGCTTAGTTTGGCTAGCCTAGAGTTTAGTTTGTAGATAAATGCCTTGCTGAGGATTCAGGACTACTACACGTTCTTGATTAACTTGGAGTCGCAGTTGCTTAGTATAGGATTACATGGTATCACAATTACTACTGTCATATCCAGGCAGCCTCAGCATGCAAAATATCCATCAAGAAAAATGGGAGGACAGCCAATTTAAATCTCTTAAATTGGGCTTGCATCTGCCTTGAAAATTATCCCAAGTTTGGCATTACATTTCTCCTGAATTAGTTCCAACATCAGCATTTCGATATTTGAGTCATGATACACTGAGTACCCTAGAGAACTTGCTGTCAGATCTGACTTCCATCTGTACCAGAAATTAATGAGTGACACTGATGTCATTGCTATTTGCCTCGATTTCCCCATCTCTGTCATGGGGATCATTTCCAAATGCAATGTGTGGCTTACTTCACTAATGCTGATGAAGTAGTTTGTGACTTAAATAAACACAAATTAGAATATAATCCTGTATTTCTCTATCAAATTACCAGTTTGCAGTCACTGAAGCAACGCTGACATGAGCTCAGGATTCTGTGGACTATAAGTAAAAATTTCAAAAGTACTTCCTGAGTTACTCTTCAAGTTCCATTTTTAAAATGTGACTTACCCTCCAGGAGCCCCAAAGTTAGAAATTAAAGGGATTTAGTGCTCCTGTGTGGCCACAACTTCCCCCCCCCCGCTTTTATTTTTTCTTTTTTCCTAGAGGTGTTTAATTGTTGTTCTATTCAGTGTTATAAAGCATTTGTGACTTGTCCAGCTATGTCTCATTTGTAAAGTACTTTAGGCTCTTCTATACTTAAGTGCTGTTGTCTGTCAATAAAACTTTGAGTTTTACTAAAATTGCTTTTGACTGATTCAGGTCCTGTTGAAACGGCTGTTTTTGGAGGTTTAGAGTAGGCAATAGTTGGACCTTTATGCTGACTTCTGGCACTGCAGAGAGTTACTTTTTTGTTTAACCACATGCTTTTCATGTTATGTTTCTCCAGTGCCACTGACAGTTACTGTGAATTGACCCCCAGCTCTCACTCCTCTCCTCCTGCTGTACATCGCCAAGTTGAAAGGAGGCGAGAACTGGTGCGGTCTCAGACACTCCCACGGATGACTACAGGAACACAGGGCAGGAAAGCACTTTTCGAGAAGTTTGAACACGATGGTGGGAAGTACGTCACACCCCTTGTCTCCAGAATGGGTTTGTTAATGGGAAACTAATTTGTTAGTTATTACCAGCAGAGGACAGCTGGGTGGGAGGACTCTCTCAATGTAGGATTTTGAGCTATGGGATGATAGGAGGTCATGTAGAGCTTTGCTGACTTGACAAACTGAGCCACAGAAACTCACAGCTACAGATTCCTCTGGCTTTGGAGTTGTTCACCTGAAGAGGCAGGGGCCAAAGCTGCCTTCTCCATCATTCTTCTCACTGGGAATATAGTGACTTTCTGTTGCCATTCATTAGGGACCAAAAGCATAAACTGTTCTTTATGCACCATGGTGGGTTATGATTTAAATAGAAGAGGGCTTGGAATCCTGGCTTTAGTGAAATGAAAATGAGTTTTTCTTGCAGGACCAACAAATTGACGTTTCTCAAATACCACCTGGACAGGGGCTGACCTGGGCAAGGTTGCATAGATGTTGCTGACAAGTAGGTTTATGTTTTTCTAGAATGTAATTTAATCTGGTCTCTGTTAATTTTCCAGAGGAAAAGGAGAATGCAGAGCTAAGCTGAAGAGGTCGCAGAGTTTTGGGGTTGCCAGCGCTAGCAGCATTAAACAAATTCTGTTAGACTGGTGTCGCTCAAAAACCATAGGATACAAGGTGAAGACACGCTATCATTTTCACCTCTCTCTTTTTCAGGAGAATTTGCCAAAAGAGCGTACTCAAAAAGTGAATTTAAAACATGCTAGGCAATGAGTTAAACTTCGTCCAGGTCATCAAGTTTTGTGTGGATAATGCAAATATCATGGTTTGCATGGGCAGCACTTCAAGACAGTCAGTGATTGCATGAGTGAGATTCTGTATGTCTGTCAAAGCAATGCATTAGTGTTTGTCTGAAAGCCTACATTTTTGTGCTTATAGATATAGACTTCAATATACACTCACACATTTTTTTCTTAGTTGCAGGCTGTGATTTTTGCATTCTCATTATATATGGCAAGATCTGAATAATGTTTTGCCAGTACGTGGAGACTATGGCCCTTTTGTTACACAGCAGACTGAAGTACTCTACTGATATTAGACAAGTGAATTTATAGTAGATGGTTGAGGTTGAATCATATGGAGTTAGTGAGCTAATTTCTGTGAAGTAACATCAGTATACCTCAAAGAATTCAGCAGTTCAGATTTTAGTAACTTTACCTGACCTTAAACAGCAATTGCCAAAGCAATTTCCAGGAGAAAATTTTTTTTTCTAGGGTTTTTTTTTTGGTGTGTGTAATACATTTTCAGCATTATTGTAAAATGTGCATTGTTATTACTGAACTCTAAATTATAGTATACATAAGCAGAACTTGTGAAAATTACTGTTAGTTGCTTACCAGAAAAGCTGTTGCTTAGATTTTATATGATGGGAAAACAGCATGAGGCAAGAGCCCAAATAACATTTCTGTGGCAGTTGAAAGTAACAATAGGCATTTGTTCTAAGAATCAGGTTTTGCAGTAGGCATAATTCTTCCTATATTTCTTCTTATATCTCTACGTATCTGTGTGTAAACAGGCATTGAATTGGGCCTTACTGAAAAGCAAAGCAAGCAAGCATAGTCTTTATCTAGTGTTATTCACAGTCACAAAATGATCCGTTCTTCAATTATAAATACTTCACAGGGATAAGCAGTGTCCTTAGCTTTTGCAGATGCTAAGCTGGTGCACTGGGTCTGCTCCAGAGCTCACTGACATTGATAAGATTCTTCCCAGTATTTTCAGTGGGCTTTGGATCAGGGACCCTCACTGTGTGTCTGCTTTGCATCTGGGCATTTCAGGCAAAAGACTTTCATTGCTAAGCGTGCCATTTTTTCCTCAGAATACAAATAATGTAATGGATATACAAAGAGGGTAAGAAAAACATAAAGCCTGTGCTCTGTTGCTTTGGTTAGTGGGAGAGAAGGACAGAAAACTGCAGTGAGCAAAAGCAGCTGCTCTTCCCTGTTCCCCCATGCTGCACTAATGTGTGTGTTTTTTTCACCATGACAGCACATTGATCTCCAGAACTTCTCCTCAAGCTGGAATGATGGGATGGCATTCTGTGCTCTTGTGCATTCTTTCTTTCCTGAAGCTTTTGATTATAATAAGCTTGACCCAGCTAATCGCAAGCAGAACTTTGAGCTGGCCTTCACCGTGGCTGAGTGAGTATCACATTAGATCTCTCTAAAGTGCTTCCAGTTCAAGTCTAATGTGCTGGGCAGCAGTGAAGAGTTTAATCATTCTTCTTGTAGATCTTACATCACTAGCTTACATGTGTCATGCCAAAAAAGATAATAAAGCTCTGCACAGAGGATGCATACGACAGGAGACTCGTCAGTCTAAAATCAGAGCTGGTTTTGCTAGGCACGGGATAACTCACTGGAGTCCTGTGTTCAGGCCTTTCACAGTGTTCAGGCAGTACTTGAATTCTGCTTTCTTACCTCTGTGATTTGTGTGAGCCTTAGCATTGACACACTAAACTTGAGAAATCAGTCTCATGAGTTATGCTTGGACATAAGAGTGAAAGAAAACCCATACTTCTCTCTGAGTTTGTTTTTTGGGTTCTTTTAATTATCTTGTTCATGAAGTAACGAACGATTCGTAATGAATTTGCCAATATCAATCATAAAAAAGAAATTTGAGTTCATAGAGCAGAAGGCATCCAGTGTTTACTGACGGTCTGTAGGAACTGGACGTAGAACTTGTAGTTTCTTAGCCAGTCCCACCTGCTCGATACCTGACCTGAATTTGAGGCATGTTAATATATCCATTTGGAATATATCTCTCTAGAAAAACCATGACCCCTGAACGGCAGGGCGTAAGTAGATTAACTTTTGGAATTGGGTTTTGTGGGAGGGTTCACCTCTGTCTGTACATTGCTTTGGTTGAACAAGAATGAAGGTTGAATTCAGTGTATGTAGTTAGATCAAGGCTGAGAGCTTTTCAAGATCTCAACCTGGCAACTGCATTTTTGTAAAATGGACAGAGCTAATACACTCAGTCACACTGTCCTGATCCTTTTTGATGCTGTATACCAGGCAATTAAATGATAACTTGTTTGTTAAAGTCATTATGAGTGTGAATTTGTCAGCTAGAAGTAGTAACTCTTTTGACCCAGTATCAATATGATTCTTACTTGCTGTTTTGTTTGACTTAGGTAACAGTAAGAACACTCCACGTGGTACGTGGCTAGGTTTGTTACAC